GACCACAGACAACAAGTGGATACAACAAACAAATGGAAGGGCTGTAACTGTGAAACAGCCATGTTTAGTATAATGTCACAGTCACAATGCACCAGCTGACCAGACATTGCAATATGTATGGTAGGCAATCAGGACGGAAGTAAATTTTATGACTGATGATGTAGTGGCTTTATACACTTTTATGGGATGGCATAGAAGAAAGTGTGAAGGTGCTTGGGGGAAAATTGGATTAACTGGCGACAATGGCTGGCATTATTAACAAAACAGAGGCAGGAGTTGAAGGCTTGATAGCATACTAGAGCTGACTGATGCTATCTTGTCAAGTATATTGAAAGAATTACTATTTATTCACAATTAATCATGGGCTGGTACAGTGTAGGCAGGAAAATCTCATGGACATGGTATGGATGAAAACAGCAGTCTGACTGGCTGAAGAGACTTCCAATCCTTATAATGGTCTTCAAGAAAACACAGCCATCAAAACTGTACAGTCTCTTCACCAACCAGATCACTGCACTACCAAATCTGCCACTCAACTGAATAACAGGGGCTTCTGTTTTAAAAAACATTCCCCTTCTCTTTCTCCCTCTATTCACCTCTTCTCCTCCCCTCCTTTCCTAATGAAAAGGGGAGAGGGACTCCCAAGGAGAAGACAACAGCCCTGCTCTACTGAGCTGAGAGGGGGGCTTCAAAGGAGAAGTCAAAAAACTTTCTCAGATGAAGTCCTGCTACTGGAGCCCAGCTGAATGGAGTGGAATAATATGGATGGCTTCCCTTTGGAAGCCCTCCTCCTCTCCCCACCATATGAATAAGAGATGATGAGGTAAGAAACAACTATCATATTTGCAAAACTGCAGCATTTTTGGAGCTATTCTGTACAATGTTTATAATGAGTTAACATGTTAAAACAGAACTGTATCTCTTAGGTGGATGAATTTTGATAGCTATATGATATTTCAGTGGTTCAAATTCAGAGCTGGTGTAAGAGGCTGGAACTCCATTCACCCTCTTATACCAGTGCTGTATTTGGCCCAATGTCTAAAAATGTGTCTTTCCCCACCCCACTACCCTACCCAATAAATTCAAGAATAAGGGCAACAATAATCCAGGGCGTGCTAAAATATGCACACTGTGGATGTGCTGAGGCACATGATTCTAGCTTGTGTCTCAGTATACTCAAGAGGTGTGTATACTGACTGTCAGATTCACTGTCATGTATTATTGGGTACTTATCAACTAATGTTTATGTTGGTATTTCTTTTGTAATTCCTATGTGTTAGACTCTGACAAGCAGGGCCGGCTCTGGCTTTTTGGCCGCCCCAAGCAAAAAAATAAAAAACAACAAAAACAAAACCCGGGGCGGGGCCGGCGGCCGGGGGCCGGGGGGCCGGGCGGGGGGGGGAAGAGGGGGAGGGAGCAGGCGGAAGAGAGAGAAGGGGGCGGCCAGGGCTACAGCAGGGGCGCTGCCATGCGGCCCCTCCCACTGCGCCGCCTCGGCTCCACTCCGGTCGGCGGGGAGGGAAGGAAGAGGACTGCCCTGCAGGGCGCTCTGGTTCTCCGCGCCGCCGCCCCCTACAGGGCGGCCGGAGCAGAACAACAAAAATACAAAAAAACAACAACAAAAAAGCCACCGTGCCGCCCTAGGATTGGGCAGAATGCCGCCTCGAACAATCTGCCGCCCCAAGCACCAGCTTGCTCGGCTGGTGCCTGGAGCCGGCCCTGCTGACAAGTGACTGTATAAAACCAGCAGTTTATAGCATCTCAATGAGTTCAGAGTAAAATTTCCTCAGTTTTGTTTTCTTAACTCCAGCCCAGCAAACCCAGCTTGGCATCTGAAAGTTAAGATGTGCTCCTTCTGCCTCATGCACCACCAGATAGGGACCCAAACTAAAACCCAAGATTTGGGCACCTGTCTTTAGAGAAGATTGAATATGGATGGACCTTTTGCAATCTTGTTTCACATCTATTAATCACCATTAATAAAAACTCGGTAGTTGGATCTTATTTAACAACTGTGTTGATTACGCATGGGCCATAAAAGAAACTTCACCCTGGTTTCTAGTATAAGCTCAGAATGGTGACACACGGATGTTCCACATGGGACAGGATCTGCAGATCTCTTTGCAGGATCGGGACCTTAATTTGGTCACTAAAGTGAGCAAATATGACTCTACATACACACAGAGAGCAGATCTGTTCTGTAAGAAGGTATCATAACAACACTTTAAATATTTTAAAATTCTTAACTTCCTTTCCTCTTATAACCCAAGCCCTGTTTTTATATCATGGATCATATACTCAATTTTTCTCAAGAATATTTTGAAAATACCTCTTCAGTATTTTCTCTGCAATTCATCCACCTTCTGCTAAGATCCAGCCATGCTGCAGTTCACAAATCCCTCATGTTAATATTAAAAAAAAGAATGTAATAATATATAAAATAAATTAACACATTTTTTAAAGCAATGTCAAAATTAAATTCTCAAAATTCAGCTTAGACTGTTGTCAATAGGCTAAAATCACAGCCTCCTCCTTCATCACTTTCCAGCAGAAATGTGGGCTGCATTTCAAATCATCATCGTATTTAAGCAATATGATTCCTTTTTTATGAATTTGCTGACAATACAGCATTTTCGTTATGCTTTTAGGGGGTAATTATAGTTTGTTAAATACATATTTAGAGAAGTGGTTTAATATGGTAGAAAAAAAATAAAAGCTGAAAACACCAACTGTGCTCCACAAGTTAAAAAAAATTCAAATAGGTTCATGTGTTTTTCTGGATCTTCTCTATGCATGAACTGAACATATGAAGTACATAAGACTATGGAAGCAGTATACATGTCACCATATTATATGCTACAGCTGGAACTCATCTATATATCGGGGAGATGGGGTAAAAATAATTATTGTCTTGAGCACAATATTATACATTTCCTTTGTGTTATACCAGTGTTCCAGCTATAATCTACTTCAGTTTGGATTAACTGTGCCAGAACTGCAATTTTACTCCATGAAGGATAACATTTATTAGCCTAATAGATGGCTGTAGTTACAATGGAAGGAGCCATGTGTTTAACTGCACCATTCTGATTAAAACTATAAAGAATTTATTATTATAAATACACATTTACCACTGTTCCCATGTAAAATAAAATAAAAATGCAACATGTTCATTGTGTATTTGTAATTTCTCTAAAGAAGCTTCCTTTTCATAGCAATTCAATTGTCCTAGAGAGATGTTTAATTGTCAATAAACAGATTGTCTAACAGATTGTAATTTATTGAAAATTAAACATCTTTCGCACAATTACATTGCTATGAGAAGGAAGCTGCAGTGGAAGTAATGGGATAAATGCAGGCATTCTCAGCAGGGCCACAAAATTTCTTTAGAGAAATTACAAATACCATAATGAGCATGCTTCCTTTCCCCGCCCCTTTCCTCCACATTGGAACTGTGGTAAATGTGTGTTTCTGATGGTTTTTAAAACCACATATAATCCCATATTTATTATGGTATTCCTACTGTGAATAAATACCACACATACGGTATGCAGTAGTTCCATCTGGCAGAAGCATATTTCTCATTGTGGCTCTAACTTTGTGTGCCTCACTCTAACTTGCTGCATCAAGGTCAGATTCCTGCAATCCTGGTGCAATCAAAACTCCTACTGGTTTTACTAGGAATACAGGTACTAAATTGAAGAGAAAGTATTTAGCATTTTTAACTCCCTTTTTAGGTTCTTGTTGGAATGTTTTGTTTTAATTTTGCAGCATTAGCTGTAACTGCATATTTTCCTTTAGGTACACTGCTAATTTTTCCATAGAAGCATTACAAACATGAATAGGAAAAAAATATCTGTATGGTTTCAAATGCAATAAATGCATAGATTTAGAAAAAAAGGCATAAGGACATTCCTTCAGGAAACCCTGTGTTCTGACTTTTAACTTAAGGATGTAGCCCAATCTGCTATCCAAACGTGCCTGCCGCATGATACAGGGATACTACCTGGTCAATGGGGAACAAGGTGTTAACCAAGATCAACTTTGTATAGGCACTATGGGGAAGAACTATAAACCAGATGCTCGGAAGACTGAGGAGAAGAAACCCTGTAGGGGTGACAGGATTGGGTTAAACCCTAAGGCTGTAGAGTTTTCTGATTTATTTTCTGCTTATGGTAATTCATTTCACTTGCTACCAGTGCATTAGCCCTTGAGAAAAAAGCCCTTGCTGGCTGCTTCTGTATTTTTCTCTGCTACGTCATTTCACTAGCTTACAGGGCCAATCCCCCAGCCTTTCCACTCAGAGCTGCCACTGAAATCAAGAGGGAGTTTGCATGTGAAAGGACTGTAGAATCTGTAAAGCATGTGATTGAACACCACTTGTTTTAAAGTGATGCTGGTCATTGGTCCAGCTGTACTTTCCCGAAACTACTGTGTTGTGTCTATTTGAGAGGAAGGATGGTCCAGTGGTTAGGGCATTAGCTTGGGAGACTTGGGCTCAAGTCCCTGCTGTGCCACTGACTTCCTTTCTGACCTTGGGTAAGTCACTTAACCTCTCTGTGCCTGAGTTCTCTACCTGTAAAACAGGGATAATACTGCTGCCTGACCTCACAGGGATGTCGTGAGGATAAAGAAAGACTGCGAGATGCTCAGATAGCATGGTAATGAGGGCCATACAAGTACCATAGATAGACAAGACTTTCCACACAGTATTATTTTAAATGCCCTTAAATAAAAGACATCATGATTATAAGTTTGCTTGAATTCAGTCAGTCAATCTCCAACGTACACCATACTCCTGTACTCAATTTCTCCATCTCTTATCTAGAGCCTGACACAACTTCCACTAAAGCCCATTAACTTCATCAGGATTTGAATAAGGCCCTTATATCCTAATGAAAGAACCAAATACAATTCAGGGTAGAGTATTATTTTAATGCAGGCCCTGAATCCTGATCTTATGTTAGCGTGTTTTCAACAAATTATGTTTTAAGACTTACGATGGTTCTTCAGACACCATTGCTCCTTCTTCCAGCTCTTGTGCCTGCTTGTACCATGGCAGTTTAGCTTCCACAGGAAGTTTCTCTAGAGAACATACACAGGCACATGAAAACAAAAACCGTATAGCTATGCACACTGCTTTGTTTCTGTAAGTGACTATATCTGCATTTCTGTAATGTTCTTGTGTGTATGGATGTACACATGCATACTGAGCAGCACAGAAGGGGGCCAGGGAGAGAGAGACAGACTCCACTATGGTGCAGAATATACAGTCTATAAAGAAATACAGAGTTTCTATGAAGAAAGAGAGTTTGTTTTTATAATGCTAGAATGGCAAATTAAATGCCATTTTAGAGGCAAGCCAAGTGGTCTACACAGGTGGGCACTTTAGCAAAGTATTTTTCAAAAACTCTTCTGACATCCATGGGGAGAATCAGGTTTTCATCTACACTGCAGAGCTACAATATTCATGATGGTTGTTTTGGCTTTGAGTTTTGTATTTGCACAATAATTGCACTGCCAATAACTGTACTTACCACATGGAGACAAATAATTGGAAATTGCAGTGCACCAAATTCATCTGCTCAAGTAACTTTTGTGTGGGGGGCCAGCCCAGGCCTAAGCATGAATTAACCTCATGTAACCCCTCAAAATAAGGCTTATTAGGGGCCTAAGTAATACATAAACCCTTGTGAAGACCACACCCCAAAAGACTTAACAAGGGGGGGGAGCAATCTCCATAGTAACATTGTTGCTGACTCTACAACAAACCTTCACCAACCTTGCATTGGCCCTGTGTGTATCCTTAAATTTTACAGCCTCATAAAGTACATTAAATTCACTTTTGATAGATTATGACATTGAAGAAAATCCACATCTGATGAGTGATACTGCAAGAAACAGAGAAACTAGAGTGAAATAGTTCAGTGATGTTCTCTGACTCTAAGCTTATCAGTTCATCAGCTATGTGGATTTAAAAAAATGAGTAGGATATTTTTTCTGTCATTTTTGATAGAAAACAGTACAGATGCTTTTTATTCTCCAAGATCTGCACATAAGTTGATTTGGGGAAGAAAAAGTCCACTTTATGAGCCAAATTCTACTTTCACAGCAGTGTGAATTCAGAGTATCTGCACTGAAGTCAATGGAGCTGTTCTGGTTTTACAGTGATCTAAAGGGAGAGCAAATTTGACACAATTTCTCTGAAATCAGCTCTGCATTTCTTCTGAGTAGTTTGGGTCAGGATTAGAAAAAAACTGATAAACACACAAAGAGTGGTATTCAGCCCTATAGAGAGAACCAGTGCAGGGTCTATGTACCACCTGAGTCCCATTTGAGCCTTTTGGGTTTAAGTGGCAGACACACCTTGCGCTGGCCTGCTGCAGAGGATTAATTTCACCCCAAATACATGAGAATTTTCAGGAAACTGGTGCATACAACACTGGAATTTTTACATAAACATGCAAACTACTGAAACTGTCAGTAGCACCATTAGCAAAGTACAGGGATCATAACTTGTCATTTGATTTCACAGCTACTGCAGCTTCAGCTGAGCAATACAAAGTTTTTTGGGAGTAAACCAGTGGCTGGGAAGAAAGGGTGCAGTAACAGTTATTATGCCTTCACTTCCAGAAATAGCAGGCCAGGCTTCTACTCTGATATATTTATTAGTGACATTTAAGGATGAATATGTGCCAGCACAGCTCTTAGTTTACCGCATTTGCTATCCAAAATATGTAAGAGATATTTTTATTTATATACCATACAGCTTATTTTTATGAGCTTTGGAAAGCCAGATCTTACTCTTTTGCTTTCCTTGTTGAATGCAAAGTCTTGTAAAAAGCAGTTTGTGCTTTCCTACACAGCTGACTGCAAAGTGACTTTTATTTTAACCTTCCCTTTTTGGGGGGGCGGGGAGCAGTGCTATATGTTGGTGGGGAGAAGCAGGTCAAATCAATTCCAATAAACTGAACTGTAAAACACACTTCTGTATTAGAGATGTTCACTTTTATTAAATAACTTGTTACAAATAACGAAACAAAACCAATTTCTAAAGTAATTTAGTGAAGAAACCAAGACTTTGGAGATAAAAGAAAAGCCCCCTGCTTTTACAATAGATTCATGTTTTTAGCCTAGTACAAACTCTTAAACTCTATGCCCTGTGTTGTGCAGGAGGACAACTATATGAACACAAAACCAACGAGGAGTCCGGTGGCACGTTAAAGTCTAACAGATTTATTTGGGCATAAGCTTTCGTGGGTAAAGTCTAACAGAATTATTTGGGCATAAGCATCGTGCCAGATGCATGGCATGCAGAGTCACTGAAGAAGTGGGTTTTTTACCCACAAAAGTTTATGCCCAAATAAAACTGTTAGTCTTTAAGGTGCTACTGGACTCCTCGTTGGTTTTGTGGATACAGACTACCACGGCTACCCCTCGGATATATGAACACAGTGGTCCTTCCTATCATTAAAAACCACAAATCACTATTTAAGTTAGGGATATCTTAAATTTTCCCTAGGATTCTCCAGTACATTATGAGGCACCTAAGAGCTTTAATGAGCTAAGAGTGGGATAAGTTACAGCAACTGCATACCCTTCATTTTTATTTAGCAGACGTGTATTAAGATAAAGACTTGCTTTGTATTTTTTTCTTACAATCTTGACCAGCCATAATCACTGATTTTTTACCCTGTGGTAATCCATCTTCAGAATGCAATGGCAGGCTTTGTTGAAGCGTTGACTAGCAGATGCATACTTTGCCACAGGTATTGACTCGTTCAACTGTAATTTATAACTCTAAATTTATTAAGCAAATCACCTCTTTTTGGATAGATTTCTAGCAAGATTCAGCCCTGCAAGTGCACGAGGCAGGAAACTGTACCACCGGCACTTGAAAGGGCAACTGTGAAAGAGGAGGCATTTGACCTGGAAAGGACAGCAGAGTGGATTTTTAAAATCACACCAACCCCTCCCCACTCCCAAAACAAAACTCTACCAAACCAAAATGCTACACTGCATGCACAATTCTCCCCTCTGGGGAGCTGATAAGAGAAAGAATGAACTACGTGTCACAGATGTTGGTTACATCACTTAATGCGCTACTGGAAGGCACTCAGATATTATCTTGATGAGGGTGGCATAAGAATCTACATAGAACAGGATAGAATAGAATACTGGATCAGAAAAGTAGCTTTGCCATGTGGATGGGGTTCTATAGGAGCCCCACCAGCAGAGGTTTCATCTTGGCATTTGATGCTCTCACTTATCATGGGCCACTGGGTATGGAAATAAAAATTCCAACTTTCTCCTTTCCATTTGCTGTCGCTAAAAAGTTATAGGCCACTTTTATTGGATTTCAACCATTCAAGTGCCCTTAATGTGTATTATCCGTAGTGATTTACAAAATTATATTATTTTTATTCATGAGCGGCTCATGTTGGGTCTGGAGCCTCCAACTCAGAGAAATGAAGATCACATTTATCGTATTTTAGCCAGGAAAATTTCCATTAAAAATAAACTCACACCACACACATGAGAAGATTATATCCATGTGGAGGTATATATATATATATATATATATATATATAAATAAAATTGTAGAACCATGTGATAATTTATCAAGCACCTTTGACTGCTGCACCTGCCCCCTGCCCATTACTCCATTTACCCCAAGATTTACTCTTACATTCCAACCCCATGAGCAGCTTCCAATAGCTGCCTTTTAGAAATCAACATGGCTCAGCAACATTTCCTCCTCCCCTCAGCCAAAGTGGGGAATTCCTCTCAATGTCCCTTACTGTCTGAGGCTCAAGACAGGGAGTATTCAATTCTGCAGCAGCGAGGGGTTCTCGACACATAAAACTGTTGTGATTTTCAAGTCTATACAATCTTGCAGCCTGGCTAGTAATAGGAGCTTCTCCATGGGACATACAGTGCTTGCTTTTAGCTTAGTTAAAGCTGCTGGTTTGCCTGAAGGCTGTTTAAACTTATAGGTAAGTTTAAAGCAGTCACTTTAAACATTTTTGTTTCCCTTTAATAAAGCACTATGGGCCAACTTTAGCCCTGATGTAGTCAGTGAAGTTGTACCCACTTACATCAGGGCTGAATTTGGATTTTTTTCTAGGTTGGTGGATCACCAGCTGACAGTAATAAGATCTGTTTTGTTTTGAAAGATCTACAGCTTGCCAGCATTTCGAACCCCACCGCTTACATCCAAACTGGTACAGCAATGGCAGTGTCTCTCGATAGAAAGTCATGAATTATTGCATTCAGACAGACTTGGGAACTTGTAGCCAACAAGCAAAAAACAGTTCCTTAGTGTGGCAGAGCTGTAAAGATTCACCTGCCTTTTTACCTTTGGGTTTGTAGCAAGGAGTGGGTACAATGCATTCTTCTTTTATATGAGGCTTTGTTTTAGGGCTGCAGCCTCCTGTATGCATCCCTCTGTGATCAATGCAGAGAACCACACGGTATCTCAGCCCTTGGCCACATGTCACAGTGCACTGAAAGAAGAAAAGAAAAAGTAGCAATTAAAAAAAACAAAACAAAAAAAAACACCACACCCTGTGGGAAAAATGGAGTACACAGAAATAATGTAACAGCATTAGAGGGCAAAACTTGGATCAGAAACAGCCCATATTGGCCCATAGATTACTTGTTTGATACTGGTTAGGGATAAAGTTGACAAACATTCACTGTTTTTTCCTTTCTGTTCTGCACAATTGTTTGGTTTAGAGATTCAGTTGCTGGATTTCTCTCTCAGTGTCACTCTACTAACTCCCTCAGCATTGGTCACTTGGCCTATGGCCATCAGTCCCATACTGGATGTATTCACTAACACCTTGTCAGTTTCATCTGTGGCCACTTCTGCTCTGCTTGGACAAGGCACTGGAGTTTATGGGTTAACGGGTGTAACAACGAAGTATTTTGGAACATGGGAACAGAGTGTATAGAGTGGAAAACTATTTGGGCTTTAAACTCCATGCATTTTCTCAAGTTGAATTCTTTTATATGGCATGTCATTTTCCCCAGGATAGTGGGTTTCTGAAGCCGCAAGCACCAACCAAGCAGGAGAGAACAGAGAGTAATAATAATGCTTTGCACATATCTGCAATCTTTAATCTGAAAATCACCAAGCACTTTATAGATAATAATCTACCACGCCTCACATTTTGGTACGGTAGGTAAGTTTTGAAAGTCAGTTTTATAGGTGAGGCAACTCCGGCATAAAGAGGATAAATGACTTGACTAAGCTCAGACCTGTTGGGATAGGACCCAGACCTCGTTTTCCTCCAGCCTTGTGCCTTCAGCACAAGTCTTAAAGAAAAAGAGGTGAGTCAGGACTAGACAAGTAGGTAGCGACTGTGGTACTAAACAGTGATTATAGAGCAAAGACTCTCATGACTATGCTTGCATGGCTGCTTATATTTCAGACTGCAGAGCGGCAGTCCAGGATATTTGACTTGTGGACAAAGAGTACGAGATAAATGTGTATTAGAATGTGTCCATGAACAGCTTGCATCTCTCTGCATGTACATATATGTTTCTACTTCATCATTTATATCTGATCATTATTTAACATGACTGATCTGATTTGCTCTTCCATCATTCTCCTCAGCTAATGTTATAAATCCTGAGTATTCACTCTGTAGTAGGATAAATGCCATTGCTTGAAGAAGAAGGATCTGAAAATTCCACAAGGTAAATAAGCTTAGTGAACATTCTTATTCTACTACATTCTCACACACAGGGCTTTGGAGCGGAGCCCAGAGCTGGAGCGTGGAGCAGCTCCAGAGCAGTGGAGCTGCAGGTTTTTGCGTGGAGCTGGAGCGGAGCCGGAGCACAGCTCCAAAGCCCTGCTCACACACATTAACAAAACAGAAGATTTGTTCCCAACGCCTGGCTTAAATACAAACAACAACAACAACAAAATCCAACAAAGAACTGTCTACCGGAGACCACTCCTGGGCCAGCCATTTTGGGCAGTCAAATATGTTGCAGGGCTGGACAATGGGCATCTTTGGCGTGTACATGCACTTCCACTCTTCCACAGGGCTGATGTGCCCCTGAATGTCCTCCTCCACACAAGAGACTGTGCGGCTCTGAATGCCCCCTCCACACGAGGAGGAGCAGGCTGTCCACGGAGTACTCTCCCATCTGCAAAAAAAAAAAAAAAGGCATCAATGAAAGGGTAAAAAAACCCCAAATGCTTGAACTTTCCTTGCGGTCTTTTTTTGTTAAGATTATTATTATGAGCAAAACTTGATCATTTATATGTATGGCCCCAACAACCAAGCACTCTTACATCTGGCGCCTTTAAAAGTTTTCTTGCCATTAGTATTTAACTTACAAGATGTTCCCTTCTCCACCACACCCAGTAGTCCAGGTTATTACCACAGAGAATTTAATTTATGTTAATTAGGGAGACTATTATATCTTGGCACTATGTGCCACACATTGGGAGACCCAAGTTCCAAATTGTTGAAAGCTCAGGGCATGTCTACACTTAAAATGTTACAGCGGCACAGCTGTAGTGTACTTACTACCTATGCTGATGGGAGGGATTCTCCCCTTGGTGTAGGTAATCCTCCTCCCCGAGAGGTGGTAGCCAGGGCAGAGAAGAAAGTTTCTGTTCATAGACCATAGAATATCAGGGTTGGAAGGGACCTCAGGAGGTCATCTAGTCCAACCCCCTGCACAAAGCAGTACCAATCCGCAACTAAATCCCCAAATAGCCCTCTCAAGGATTGAACTCACAACCCTGGGTTTAGCAGGCCAATGCTCAAACCACTGAGCTATCCCTCCCCCAAAAAGGTCATCAAGTCCATCCCCCTGCCTTTACTAGAAGGACCAAGTGCTGATTTTTGCCCCAGATCCCTAAGTGACCCCCTCAAGGATTGAACTCACAACCCAGGGTTTAGCAGGCCAATGCTCAAACCACTGACCTATCCCTCCCCACTTTTAACCTAGCACTGCCTAAATGGGGACTTAGGTCGGCTTTACGCCTCTGCTCAGGGGTGTGAATTCCTTTACACCCCTGACCGACATAATTGAACCCACTTAATTTTCTAGTACAGACCAGACCTCAGTGTGCTATGAAGTTGATGTCCTTCTTTGCATTGCAAGGGGAAAGAGCAATGCCATCCTGAGCTGCTACAGTCATCATATGCACAGTGGGTGAGGGGAAAACAAAGATAGAAGCAATTTTCTCAGGAGAATAAAATGAGTGTGTGATGAAGTGTGTGTGAATAGGGGATAGAACTATAGCTAGCGTTACACTGATATGGTTAGTGACTATTAGAGAAAGACTGGTTAGTTTGGGAAACACTGTTGCTTTTGTCTGACTGCTATTGAGGTAATGAGAAGAACATTTTAATTTGATTATATAACAAGTGACATTTTGTTGAGAAAAAACAGTGAAATGTGTGTGCTCTGGCTGCTTTATGAGAATGTCTATATATATATACACACATATACACATAGATTTCAGAAAAATATATATACTGTATATATGCATAAACAATGTGTGTGTGTATATAGAATACTAACGTTGCTTCTCTTGAAGCAGTTGTATTAGCCATTGTCACACATAGGATCAAAGACTAAATGGGCCCTGGGTCTGATCCAGACTGGTGATTCCTACACAGTGAATATATATTAGAGCTAGTCAACAGTATTCAGTGAAACATTTTTCCTGGAGAAAATGCCTTTTCAATTAAAATGAAAGTTTTTGCAAAAACAAAACAAAAAATGTCTGTTTTTTGACAAACAAAAACAAAAATTTCATTTTTAGGAAAAACTAAAATCTCCCACCCCCCCCTTCTTTATTCCAGGAGATAAAAAAATAAGCAATAAAAAAGCAAGTGTGGTGGTCCCCAATCAAAACAAAATCAATATTTTAATTAAAAACAAATGAAAAAATTCATGGAAAAATTCAGACAGGATTAAAAATTTTCAATTCTTCTCAAATGTTTCACCAACTACACTTACCTTTTTCTGACCAGCTCTAATGTATGTATATCTGCACACACACTAGCTAATGGCTGATTGTACTGTGTTGTATATTGACAACAATGTGAAATGGCCACATTGTTTACCAGTGGCAAAGCCATCGATCCGTTATGTAGTTCATCTCAAAGGAGTGCCAATAAAACTTGTACACCACACCTTCTATTCTGCAACTGCTACAGAAGTTAAAGAAAAGGTATTTTTAGAACTTAGTTTTAAAATATTTTGCTAGGGAGTCTTTCCAATAATGCTCCCCCTGTAGAGCCAGAGTTCTGTTTGAGCCCACCTAGACAGGCCTAAAATTGGAACTAATAAACATTAAAAAAGCCTCTAATAATTACCTACAATAACTTTTCCATACATAAAAGTGTGATGTTGGAGTCTGATACCCTGGGACTTTCCATGGGAATCCAAATCTGCCCTTTTACAGCAACTTTCCAGCTGCTTTGTGCTACCTCAACACTACAAAGCAGCAGAAACGGGGGGGGGGGGGGGGGGGGGCAAGAATTCGGCCCTCAGGCACTATACCAATAAAAATTTTTCGAAAGAGTTTCTGGGATCATGGCTCTCAAAGCAGAAGGGTCACAGTCACCTGAGACTCAGGGAGGATTACCAACTACCAGGAATTTGGGAAGAAAGTGGTGCCCAATGAGGACTCTGGTACCACAAGAGTATTACATGCAATGGATCACATCATACTCGCTCTGTGATAAAAAGCATGGCAGAGGGAAGTTCCTGCAAGGATTCCCTCCCAGAGCTCATCCCAACCTGCTCCCAACCTTTCAGATCCAGTGGAGCCTTGCTACCTACTCCACTTGGTGCTAACCAGCCTTGCAGTGACTAGGCTACACAGACAAGACAATATGGCCTGGGGCTGTAAGCTCTATAGGTCCAGAGGCAAGACAATTTGCATCCCCCTGATCCTGGCCCTGACTCAAGTCTCCCCAAATCCTCCCTCTAGTCCCTTTAACCTCAGCCCATTCCTTCCCCAAACGGATTCTAGACCTGTCACATCTGGAGTGGGAGTGGTGATGCTAAGGAGGTGTCTGACCCTGATCCATGCACAGAGGGTTCCAATCCATATGTGGATTTGGGGGGAGGGAAATGATACCACCCATGTATAGAATGGTGGTGGGGTTGGAATAGTGGATCTAAAGGGATTGTTATAGGTTGAGACCAAAGCCCAGAAAAGCTGAGAAACACTGCTTCGGGCCTTTGATCATTTCCCATGGACTGATATTTTCTTTCTTTTTGTGTTGCTGAAAGGCAAATACTTCAGGGCATGTCAGTCCTTTATTCTGGATTTTCTTCAACTGTTAGAAAACCTCTGTCTAGCTGCCAGGTTCAGGATGCTTTTTGCTCAAATACAGTCCTTCCACGGTTGAGTGTTGCTGGTTCATCCTGTGATCTATAAAATTCGGTCTCTTTCTCTCTGTCAATGTTCAAGAATTTTGTTCATAATTAAGACAAAATACTTTTTTACCCCAAGACCCTCAGATCTTATTAATGACTGTCCTTTACACCCATTTTAAAATCTTTTGTAAAGTTTTGAGGGTGGTGGGTTTTTGTTTTATAGGAAAGAGAAAAGAGGTTTCCAGAAATGAGGAACAGGAAGTATATATATATATATTATAAGAATATGTATAGTGAGGTAAATGACCAATATATTAACTCTGTGTACTCATATGTAAACATGCAGGCATGGGGAAAAAATCCCTAACCCATCCAAAATATGTATCTAACATTACTAGAAGGTGAGAAAGACAGGCATTTGGCATATAAATATAAACTATACAAATGATAGGTCAGTGGTGACAATGTGAGCGGCAGCCACAAATGCAAGCAAGAGCTGCTTTCCTCCCTGTCCTCCTACTCTCAACTGGGAGGTCTGTTGTGTGGTCCTATACCATATTTCAAATCTGAATGCACTGCCTTTGTTCACACACTATAGCAAAGCTCTGTGGTACCTATGCTAGGACTCACTGTGGTTGGGGAAGGATCACTTTCTCAGCGAGGTGAGATTAACACAATGGCTAGCAGGTGCCTTTAGTGCTAGGAGGCCCAATGACATAATAAACTAACAGCAGGAAACAAAGCAGAAAAGCAATACTATTTCAAGCTATTGCCTCAAGACAGTGCAGATTCTGGTTATTGATGGGCTTGCTTCAACTGGGAGAGCACCTTTGTTAGCGCTCTTACTCTTACTTTATTATTAATACAATCACCAATGTAACAGACTTATATTTCCTGTTCATTTATGTTCCAGGTTTCTAATGACACACAGAAACACAGCTAATAACATGAGATTTTCAAGCACCCCCTCATGCTTTAAAGACATTCTTAACCATAAGGTAATTAATAGGATATGTCAGAACTCTCTTGCATTGGCCATATTTTTAACGGAGTGTTAGTTCATCGCAAGCTGAGGTGTAAATTTATGATGCTCTAGCTTGCTGCACACTAACTGCTGTGTGGAACTTGCTACAGCACACTAAAAATTCCATAGTGCGCTTACTTTTAGTAGATGGTAGCAGGGTCCACCCAGCCAGTTAGTGCGTGGCAAGCTATATTGCTGTAGATTTACATCCCAGCTTGATCCTGCAAACTCATGTGAGTACATTTACCCATGGAAGGCAAGCTGGGTGCAAACATATGTAAAGAAAAGTTACTCGCGTGGAAATGTTTGCAGGACTGGGCCTTTGAACATTATTCATTGTAAAAAATAAAACCCTTCACAATTAATAAACTTGTGACTTTTTTAAAACAGAATTTAATACACAAAATGGAACTACAGAATCTGGAGTTCTACTTTCATAGCAATATAATACACTATGGCATATGCTAGATACTTTTGAGGGGGAAAAGTTGAACAGTTAGTTAGCCACAAAGCCAGTGGTTTAGGTACGATTCATGGAAGGGCTGGGGGTGGGGGGAGGGACATAGAGAGATAGATATCCAGTAGACAATCAGACTGAATTACTGCTTCAACTTACTTTGATGTAATTTTAGCTCTGCTTCAATAGTCTTTATAGCAACAAGTTTAGCGCTTGAGCAACTCATGATTATTCCATAGGAGAGTTCAGAACAAGGGGCAGGCAGCATCAATTGTCTTAGTTCTACAGAAAAGCAGCAATGCAGGAAAAAAGCAGTAAACTTATTTGCTAATCCTAGCGTCTGGTTGATTGTTTTACATACCGAGGAAGGGGATGGTAGAGGTCATAGGGCATGATCTGCTTGTATCCATCACTGTTAGGAACAATAATGCCAACCCTCTGAGTAGAAGGTACACACAATAAAACAAACACTAAATGATTACATTATACAATTGTTTTTACATGGTATTAAAAAACTGTCAAAATATTCTTCCCACATTGCTAACGTTTTGAAAACAAAACGTAAGAAACCTTTCCAGAGTAATTCTCGCAGTTCACAAGTTGTTCTACAAGTTAACCGCTTAGCATACCAATTAACCCTCTGCTTCTTAGTAAGCTACCCCCCCCCCACGTGACCAAAAAGTTGGTTCCACTGTTACAAATGACACTAATAAACACATAAATTCTCTCTTCACTTACAAAGTAATTACATGCCATGAGGGATTATTTTTATTAGTACTCTGAAAACATACATTTAGAGCTTGATTCAAAGTCCATAGAAGCCAATGAAAAGACTTCCATTGACTTCAGTGGGCTTTGGATCAGCCCCTTACTTAACAATTACATGGTTGTTTCTGCCCTGCAGATGAAACAGTCCACTGGATTTACAGGAACTTGTGATGCGTAACTAAGGGCATTTTCCATTCCGGGTCCCTGATACTGGGACTCACATCTCTCCAATCCAAAGAAACTCAATTATGTTCCTCTTCAGGGCTCATTTATTTACTTGGCCTTTTTGGAAGAAGTGTTTGTGTGGAGTGAGGAAGACTGAGTTGTTGCATTTTTTGTTGTTGTTGTTTAGCGATTGTTCTTTGAGGAGTTTATGGCATTCTTGTCTGATACGATATTGTTCGTGTGTCTAAAGACTGCAATAGGCACTTATGTAAATCAAAATATGTAAAACTGAGAATACCATGTAATATGTGAAAATTTATGAAGTTGATTAGTTAAAAGGTGGACAGCACCTAGTGGGGGCCACTTGGGAGGGGACAGCAGGAAGGTCTAACTAGAGGAGTCCTATTTGGTTAGCCCAGGATTTTAAGTTTTGGTGGGGTAATGGGGTTTGATGAACTTCTTGCCCAGGGTGACTCCCTCCCTGCCACTGGAAGCTCTCACTGATCCTTGGTCAGTGTTCCCAATGTCACCCATATACCATCCGCTATCATTTTGTCAGGCTGGGAACCTGCCAGAGGCTTGAAGTAGGAGCTTGTGGAAGAGCTGAAGTAAGTCACATTGGAATGAAGTATCTGGATGTAGAGGCCAAGGCTTGGATGATTTTAGAGAGGCTTCGATAGCTGAGAGAGGTTGGGTGAAAGCGGATGAGGGCATCTGTTAGGGGAATGCGTAAGAATAAAGAATTGAGAACAAGTATTCTTCATCCTCAGTGCAATGTACTGAAGAGACATTCTCCAAGAGTTAAAAAGGGTCTTGGCATGTTCAGGCTAAAGGGTTCTGTTCTCCTTTTGATGGGCAGAGTGTTTATGTGGATAATTCCTCCACAATGGGAGAATAGATCCCACTGTGTTTCCACAGTGAAGAGTCACAGCTAGGTCAGTGTGATGGAATTTTCCAGCTAATGCATTAGAAGAAGCTGAAGCCACTAAAGTGTGTGTGATGAGAACTGGACTGCTCTCTGTCAGGTTAACAACTCTCTGACATGACAGCAGCTGTGTGTGCGCACACTGAGAGGAGTCCATGCCTCCCCATCGACTTAAAATCTGAGAGAGTTCCAAGATTTGGGTAGGTTTGGAAAGGGAAGGATGGATCAATTAAAGTTTGTTCAGTAAGCAAATCATTCCAGTTTTGTTCTGACTGAACAGAGAGAGGGGTACTGATTTGGGAAGCTCTTGGTAATATTTTAAATATAATGGACATTTTGTAATGCTCCTGCAAAGTACACTCTCTTCCCCCATCCCGCTACTAGTGCTGCTCCAATCAAAAGTTGTTAGCTCACTCCGGCTCCTCAACCTGCTGAGAAACATACAGGAAAAGATTAACAGCAAGTCCAGAATTGAAGCAATTATATTGCCAATGAGGCTACATTGTTTGAGAGCCAAATGGGTTTCAAATCCTAATTTGTAACTCTTTGCAGTAAATAATTAAAACTTTTTAATAAGTTTTTCTTCTAATAAAACTCGGTTTGAACAGTTAGACTGACTCTCAAGGTTACACACTGCCACCCCAGGGCTGTTGTGAGGATTAATTAGTTAATGTTTGTAAAGCACTACAGAAGGGCCAAACAACACTCTTATTTGGGATGTACAGAGTATTTGACATTGTAAAGCATTTTGGGGCCACAGTTTGTATTTTCATTCACATGTAATTTGTATCATATTGTTTATTCAATCACTCTGTATTTGGGAAATATTGTCAAGGCACTATAATACCATATAATAAATTCTGCAGCAAAAGTGTCAGAGAGAAGCTGAAAAATGTATTGAACTAAACCCCAAGACGTGATTTTTCAAAGCAGAACGTATTTATCCTATTCCTTTGACAACTTTTACTACAATGACTTTGCTTTGCCATTGTTATTTGCTGACTAAATTCCGCCCCCCCCCCCCGCAAAAACTACCTAAGGGTATGTCCACCCTGCAATCTATGGTGTGACTGCAGTATGCACACACACGCACACACACACACCCTAGCTAGCTTTGATTTAGCCAGCGTGAATACAATAGCAGTGAAGATGAGGCACCACGAGCTGAAGAAGCCCACTGCCTGGATGTGTACTGGAGTGGCTAGCTTGTACAGCAACTTCGCTGCTAATGATCAAAGCTAGCTCAGATATATCTACAGGTGCTGTAGTCACATCGCTGACTGCAGTGTAGACATATCCTAAAACCGGTTATCAAACAGGGGTATGCATACCCCTCGGAGTACACAAAGGTCAGGACCCTGGGGGGGCTTGCAGGATGGGTTTATGGAGGGGGTCGCAAGTGCAGGGTGGCAAGTAGAGCAATTGTCCAGGGGCCCAGAGAAGCTAAGTTACATGCTTTAGCCCCAGGCAGCAGGGCTCAGGCTTCAGACTCCTGAAAGGGGTACAGTAGTCAGGAAAGGTTGAAAACTACTGTCCCAAAAGACACAAAACAATACAAGATGATTACTGTAACATAACTGCATCCTAGCTAGCCAGTTTACACAATGTACCTGTTGCTACCAATCAAAACAAACAAAAGCAATTCACAAAAAAATACATTTACTTAAAGATCTTCTCTACAGTTCTGAATTGTCTGGTTTCTGACTCAGCAAAAGGTATTTCTGGGTTTTTTAAACTCTTATTAATCAATTGTAGCATCATTGAAATTAATGATGGAAGAGATCTACAGCCAGATCATGGACCCTGGCTCTGTTCACTTTGTGGTACTCTGACCATGCCAAGGGGATGCAGAGCTGCTCTAGGAGGGCAGCTGGATATTCCCCTGATGTAATGGAATCCCTAGGTGGTGTGAAGCTGGCATAACTAGCTCTGTGCCACCTGCTCCCCATTCTGGGCATAAGGAGCAAGTGAGAGGGGTGGAGACAGAGTAAAATGTGCACCAGATGCAGAGAAGTCTCCAGGGGACTGCTGCAGCCAGTATAATTTAAAGCAGCCCCCAAACTGCACTAAGATATACTGGGGTCCATTTTGGTCAAATGGAAAAGTGTCTTGACCCACCATTCCTCACCCCTAGTTTCTGCACTAAGCACAGCTCAACTAGACTCGGGGGTGGGCCCAAAATGTTTAGGTGACATTTAATAATACTTTGGACTTCTTATATATGAGGGTGGGGTGGGGGGGAAGAGAGAGAGAAAAAAACTTGTTTTATAAGGCTGCTGTGGGAGTAACAAATGGGACTTTTCATGCACCACATGGCACAATCCTACTCCGGCAGGGGCAGGGGCATGGGCTAGATTTTAGAAGGCTGTCCTCTCTCTAACATGTAAATTATGTCTTCTCCCACTTGACAAGTTGCTTCGTTCACACTGCAGTTTTGCTTTATTTCTGCATGGAACCTGGCAGGTTTGCTCTTTGAGTGCATCTGCCCAGCTGCCTTGGGAATGAAACATGCCAAGACTGGGTGCACTACGAAGGCCGGCTATTTACCTAGAATGCCCCTTTTCACTGTTAAAGCCACAAAATTGGTCCTAGAAGCTGCTGCTGTTCAATTGTATGGAAAAGCACCACTGCACCTCCAAGTGATGAATCTACCTTCTAGACACTTGGGGCCTTATTCAGCCCCATGTCAGTGCAGGTGCCAACACAGGGATACAGGGCAGGCAGTTTGCCTCTCCCTCTGTTCATGATGAGCAGGGGCTTGAACAGGCCCTGGGTGCTCGTTAAAGCAGACCTCAGGGACACAGAATATCTGGGACACAAGCCTGTCCTGGCCATACCCCCTCTTGCCTCTGATCTGTTGCCCTCTGCATCAAGGGCTCATGTGGAAGTGGCTTGGAATATGCCCGCGGGGGGAAATTTACACCTATGGAGACAGTGGAGCATTGCTAATGCTAAGGACCAGGGGCTAATGATGGTCTTTCGTCTGTCTAAATGGATGCCTATTATTGGTTTAAATCAGAGAATCTTTTAGGGGCTGGAGCCCCCCTTTGTGGTGGATCTGCACCTGGGCCCCACATGTACCTAGAGCAATTGCTGCATCCCACCTCTTCCCCATTCCCTCCCTTTTCTCATTTTTAATGATTTTGCTGTCCATTTGTGACTCTTATTCTTCCCCTTCCTTGCCCCTCTGTGAAGCCACCACTTCTTAATCCCCTCTCTCCAAGTTCTCTCCCCCAGATTCCTCTCCCCACCAGTTTTTCTTCACTGTCGCTCCTAGATCCCTCCCACTATGAAAAATGTGGCCAGGGTCAATTCTCCTAATAATCAGGAACTCTGGGGTCTGCTAGGTCCCCAGCCAATAAACAGTTCTTCTGGCTTGCGGGTGAATTACAGGGGTGTTTTCTTCTTAGGAAGTGAGTGAAGCATGGAGAGAAAAATCATTGCAAACTCACCAGCATGCACATCAACCCCCCAGTTGTCCCAAATTTCTGGCTGATGTTTAGTGCAATCCCTTGAAAATAGTGTTTGCCCCTTTCTTCTCCTATAGCTCCCTG